GGAAGGTCAGATGCGCTTTGCGATCATCTAAAGAACTTTCAGTTTTGTTCCAAACACAGAGATTAAACCATATGAAGGTTTTTCAGTGTTCACTATCTAAAATAACTTGAATGTTTAAAAAAAAAAAAGATCTTTGACTTTACAGACTCCTTAAACAGTTTGACACACCAACAATTATATAAACTAATTTTCTACCAATAATCTTAATCAATCTAAACACATAAACAGCATTACACATGGACATTTGTATTGTACTTTAGAAGGAAAAATCTTGACCAAAGCTTGAAAAGAAACAAATGTGGTCAGAATAGGTTATTACACCAGAAAGAAACAGGTTATAAATGATTCATTTCACAACCATCAGCTAAATCCTGACAACAGGGATCAGTTTGCCATTAAAACCATTAAATAAGGTGGAAAAGAAGGAGTTCAGAAGGTTCCTTCTGGAAAACAGCGTGGCCACAAACAACCACTCTGAGGTCACAGTTCAAAAAAAGGTGGAGGGGAAAAAACAGCAAAGTTAAACGATTAGAATGGATGAAAGGAGGCAGATGATGGATGAACAGGGCTGCAACTACTGGTTTCTGTTTAGATTTACCCTCCTCACCTTTTTACAGCCTCTCAATTATCCATTGCTTTATTTGTCGGCTTGTTTACAGAATGAGTGAAAGAGAAAAAACCCTACAGTCCTACGAAGCTCAACAGTAGCTCAACCTACAGCCTTTAAACAACCTTAAGCCGACATCTACTGTCATGTTCAGGTTTCTAGAATCTTTTAAAGGAAGTAGTTACTGACTTTATCCCTATTTGCTGGATAGTTTATCCAAACACATCTTTATCTGCAGATAAAAAAAAAAAAGGGCTGAACTAAATATCTGCTGCACCACAAACCGCAGCATCATCAGTTTGGTACGGTCAGCTAATGGATGCAAATGCACTGCAAAGAAAAAAGTACCACAACCACAAAAATGAGACTAACACTCAAACGGACTAAACAAAGCAAAGGAAAAATGCTGCAAGTTAAAAAATAACAAAAACGACAACAACAAAGGATATCTGCAAACTAACAGCGCATAACAGAAGTGCTCCAGACCACTAGGGGAAGACGATCATCAACTCATCAGCTCAATTCACTGGACTTTGATTCCAAGTTTGAAGACGTTTCTCTTCCCATCCAGGAAGCTTTTTCAAGCAGCCCAACAAAGCCTTGTTTTTGTTTAGAAAACATTCAAACTGAAACGGATGAACGGGTCCACCCCTTTGGAATGAGGGCATGTAATACACGATACCTGTCTGTGTCCCCGAAAGGGGGTCATTAGAGGGAATTAGAAGATGCTCTCCAAACCTGTGGATACCCAAACTGGGCATTTGTCAAAAAACAACAACATCTCAATCCCAGATGTTGCTGGAGTCTCTAAAAAACTCAAGAGGATTTTCTCCAAACACAAAATCCCAGAACATTTCAAACCAAACAGCCCCTTAAACAGAGACCAGTTCATCCTACAGACCAAACCTCCAGACCTAATCTGAGCGCAGTGATGTCTGCAGTTCAATGCAGTGACAAAGGACATTCATTTGAGGACCAGAATGTTCACATTTTGGACAAAGAAGACAGGTGGTTTGAGAGGGGCGTGAAGGAAGCCATCTATGTTAAGAAACAAAAACAAACCTTAAACAGGGGGAGGGGGGGGACTCAGGTTCCAGCTTTCAAAAAACCTTCAATGCAGCGATAGAGACCAACAATTCTCTTTAATGACCCCCCTTTCAGAGACATAGACAGGTATGGGGCAATGGAGGCTAACACAGAAGCCAAACGACCCCCATTCAAAAGGGGTGGACCCGCTCCTCCGGCTCAATTTGCATGTTTTCTAAACAAAAACAAGGCTTTGGTTGGTCCACTCTATAAAGCCTGGAACTCGACGCCATTTCTGACATTTTGAATCTAAAAAGCTTCCTGGATGGAAGAGAAACGTCTTCAAACTTGGAACCGGAGTCCATTGGATTGTTCTTTATTTTCTTTATTGGCCAGGCCCTAATGCTTAGGGACCAGTATATTTGTCTCCCTCTTGTGGTGTGTAACTTTTTCATAAAATGATTTTATTTCAAAACTTAAATTGATTCAAAGTTTTAATTTAAACCCTAATCTAAATTTATTATTACATAAGTGACCCCTAAATGCTGCTTGACAGACCCGACGTTTTGGAGGAAAACCAATCGGCCGTGGACCGATTGAAGGCTAACGCTAAGCCTAAAAATGGTGGATAAGAAATCTAAACCTGAGATAAATGCATTTAACACCACTTCATTAAACTCTCGTTGTGACCAACATGTGCTGTGCACTACCGCACTGGCTGTTAAAATGGCGGAGCCCTGCCTCTGTAGTACAACACTCATGTTTCTGCAGCTTCTCTTCGCTTGTGGCTATTTTTGCATCTTGCTGTGTTTTCCTTTGTATGTGTTTTATAATTGTAATTTCCTTTCCCAAGGTTTACAACTAGAAAAAGATAAACCTCTTCAAAATGTTAAGTACAAGTGAGTCTAAACTGAGAATGTAAAATGTTTTTAATTTGTGACTCACAGAACAGTTTGTGTATTTGCACTCAACAAATTTCTAACATTCTAACATTACAAAAATGTCATTTCTTTTTTTATCTCAGACTTCCAAAATCTAAAACAACCTTCTTATTTCTATGTTAGCATCATTTGCAGCAGATGTTTTTATTTGCACTATATTGCTCTCTACTTTCTGTGCAGCATTTTTCCTTTTTGGGGCCATTAGTCATTTTCTGTGTTTGATTTTTCCTCTTTGCAGTTCTTTTTGTATTTGCAGAGCGTTTGCTTCCCATTGTTTTGAGATGCAAGTGGGATCTGCTTGACTGATCTGCTTGCAGGTTTCATTGCAGCCCTAAGTGAGTGAGTTGGGAAATGACTGAGAGGCTGAAAACATAGAAGGGACTGTTCACTTCACAACAGATAACAACAGCACGATAACCACCTTCCTTACTGAGACAAAACAACCAACTGATTCAAGGTTTTACTATAAGACTGAGAGAAAGGAGGCGAGGAATGAGGGTGGGACAGGATAAATACTCGTATTAGTTGTTTTTAAATGTGCCAGACACTGTGCAGATCCTGAGGGGAAGCTGTTTGCCCTTCATCTACTTTTGTTAAATTCAGATTGGAAAACTACATACATGTATATCAAGTGTTTTTCTCTGTAGTTTCATTTCTCTGTCTTTACTAATGACAAAAAAGCAAGAATAAGACCAGCCCAGGAATAAACTGTGATGAAGTAACAGCAAAGGGGTTGGGATGGTGACGGTTCAGGCAAAAAAGGAACACAGAGCAGCTAAAAAAGGACACAGTTTGGACGTCTGCACTCAGGACCTGGACAGAACTGGACACAACCAAACCAGCCGTGGAGAAAGAAAGAGAGAGAAGGAGGGAGGGAGGAAGGGAGGGAGGGAGAGGGGGGGAGGACCAACCAACACACAAGAAAATGGCAGAAGGCATAATTACCACGCTCATGAGTGATGACTGAGGTAGGGAGGAAAGTGCAGTAAACAAAAATGGAAAAAGGAAAACAGAAGGGAAAAAAGAGAGAGAAAGAAAGTAAGACACAAATAAAGGAGCAAAGATTACATATAGGGAAAAGAACTTTGAAAAACTGAGTGCTTCTGTTTGATCCATTAAAAATTAAAAAGCAAATAGAATAACACAAATCCGGTTTTAATCAGGAGTGACTCCTGGATCGTTTCAGACTGTTCAGATTTCTGAGTAAAAGCTGTTCAAATCCAGATCCAGAAAACAATGAATCTTCTGTCAAATATCACTTTGAATAAAGTTAAAACATGTAAGAATTGTCTAGCTGGACATAATCAAAAAAGGAAAAAAAAAAAGAAAAATTCTGCGTAAAAAAAGACGGATGTGTTGGGTTGTATGTTTATTTTTAAAAGAGTTTTTTATTTCAAGATTAATCATCTTCAGCTAAATATATATATATTTAAATAAGCGTCCCACCTGTTTAAATCTTATATGTTTGTAAATCACAAAACCCCTCAAAATAAAGTTTTTCTTTGTCAAACTAATTTAGGGACTGGCTAAATCACTCTGCTGGTTGCTATGCAACCATCGCTGGTCAACCTCATTTCATTCAGCTTGGTTTATAAAAGAAAATAGTAAAAATGTTCAAAAACACAAAAACAAAGCATACAACCGCATTTCTCTATCCACATGGGGACTTTCCACTGACTTTCATTCATTTCTAATCTACAGCCTTCCCATGACCTTTACCCTGAGCCCAACCTTACAGGTTCATACTTCATCTAAACCTCAGTCACACTGAGTCCTAAACCAAACACCTCACCCTAAAACCGCATTTGTCCCGATGGGCAGCCGCCAGAGCCGTCGGTCCCAATGATGTAAGAGAAACACGCCTGCAGGATCCGTTTTTGGTTTTTCATGGGAAGTATTTTTAAAGCATCACAATCACTGAGTCTCAGCGTCTTTGGCAATATTTATTTAAATGAATCAATGTTTGTTTCTGATCAGAAGAAGTTTTACTTTCCAATAGCTCAGGCTGAATCTCCAGGGAGGGAAATAAAGATTAGGGTGATGGTAAAGAGGATTTCGGATCTGAAAAACTTCAAGCTTGTATTTCTGTTATAATAGAATCTACAGGTTACATGTTAGCGGATCCAAACCCAACAGAAAGCTTAAAAACTATGATGTGATAAAACTCCAACATGCAGACTTCTTCTGTCACCAAAATGATAAATATCAGAAAACAGGTCAGGCTGTCTCAAAGAAAACAATTTAAGGAGACATTTTAGGTATTTAAAAGTACCTGGAGACATTTTATATCAGAGTAAAAAAATTGTTCATTTAGTCCCAAGTGGGGCTAATATTTCTCATAAAAAGGGAAATTTTTTTTTTTAAAGACTTTTGCAATAAGTTAAGCAGTAAAACAGTCTTTATTGTGGAAGCATGTCCCTGCTTACCTGATCCCTCCTCTGTCACCATCCCCAGTCCCTCTGCTTTGTTCTGCCTCTCGAATGCATTCAGGTCCAGGACACTGGAACAAAACAAACGGGTCTGTGAAACAACCGTGTCTCCCGGCCGTCCAGAACTCTGTGTATTATACCTTTAATCCAGAAGTACATTAAGTTTCAAAAAGCAGGTTTACAGAAAACTTAGTTTTGGGAAAAATCAAAACGTTTTCTGTTTCACAAAGAGTTTCCTCATCCTCTGCTTCTGTTGCCATAGTAACATCCTCCCCAAGCTAACCCGGTCAGCAGCAGGTTTTCCTCAGTAAACTCCATTGGCTCCGCTCTCCTTACAGCCAATCACGCTGCCTTATTTCCTGATTCAGTCAGAATTTTTTTGGTAGTTTTGTGCATAAGAAAAACAAAATAATTCCCTTTAAAAACAAACATTGCAAGGCCGTTTGACGAGGATCCTATCAAAAAGCGATTGGCTGTAATTCACCGAGAATAAATATTTTTAAGGAGAGGATTCTACAACTCAGTTGACAGGATATGAGACTTATTTGTTTTTGGTTTGTTTACTATGAGCGAGATGCAGATAATTTAATTTTATTTATTTATTTTATAAGTAAATGAGGAACTACTGAAATCATTTGTAGATTACACATAGATTAATAAACTCTGAGCGGGGGAGGGGGCTGACTTCACTCTGTGATAGAAACCTACTCAGTCTACACGCAGAATCTGAAGCCATCTATGGGACTAATAGTTGCTTGATGATAACATCCCAAGCAGCTGGAAACGGACAGTATTTACTGTGTAAAAGAAGATGGAATGAAGCTGAGGAGGAACCCATGAGATGATGAACAGATTCTTCCTGTTAGAACGTTTTTATTCTTCATCTTCACCTGCTGACAGTTAATTTCACCTAATCCATACATTTATCTACTACCATTAAAGAAATAAACCCATAATCTTATCACAGTTACAAGAAGTTATGGCAAGCTGTTTTGATATATATACCAGTTATACTGAATATGAATTCCTGATATCTGGAAGAAAAAAAATCATTTTCTTTTTAGAATGATCATTTCACACAAAATGACTAACTGATTAGTAGCCAGAGTAACAAAGCAGTTACTTTATGTCATCAAAAATATAGAAGATTGAACTTTCCTGTAATAACTTTAAACACAAATGGAATATCAATTATGAAATACAAAATGTTTATTATAATTTCATTCAATAATCAATTAAAAAGCCTAATTATCTAAAAACATTGCCTACTAATCTGCACCATGTTGGTGGGAGAGGTGGGACAAGTGAGCTGCAGTAATACCATCTAAATGTGAATTCTTTAAAAAAAAATTAAAATAAAAACAAACAATTATAAAAACAGATTGTCTTAAAACTTTATATTTTTGCAGCTTGACTGCATTTAACGTGTTGTAAAATAGGTATGAATTTGAAAAATTATGCTTTTCAAGCTTTTTCAAGTAAATAAAATCTACTTTGCAATAGAATGAAAGCTTAACTGTTAATACTCAGAGCTGGAGCAGCAAAGGGGTTGAAGGTCAATAGAGGCCAACACCAGGATGGATGGAAGGATGCAGTGTCCAATAAAAACTCTAACTTAGGCTCATAGGGACAAACCAGAGGTTTTCCAAATCATCCAGTTTTAGACTTGGGGAAATCAGCATTTTCATTGATTTAGTCGTTCTATCCTCACCTGCAGGATTGCATCAGACCAGCCAGACTTTGGAAGAAGCCAACATCCTTCTTGTCCTTTAGATAATCCAACATTTTCTGTTGAAGAAAAACTTGTTAAGATCCTACAGTATTGCAAGATTTAAACGGATAATAAACACAGAGGAACGAGTGGAACATAGTAAAAAAGTAAAAAAAAAAACAATCCACTTGAATTTTCCAGTTTCCATGTTCGAAGACGCTTCGCATCCCATCCAGGAAAAAAAATAATTCATAAATAAATAAATACATACAGTTATGTACAATAGCATAACAAAATGAAAATTGTCTAGCGCTGCTTTAAAGAAAAAAAGTGGTTCGGGCATAGATCTTGGAATCCTGACATCTACATCTAAGAAGTTGAACGTTTTATTATAAAAGATCTTTATTCTGTTTTAAAATGTAGAGTTATGTCAGTTAGAGTTTTGTCGTCACACAGTGTTTACCTGCTGTACAGTAGAGTTTCCTCCATTGAGGATGGCGATGCCCAGCTTCAGAGTGGAAGCAACCATAGGGCCCATAACACCTGGAGCACAAATTAAAAGGTCTCCATTAGTTTGGATGTGACGGTTTTCAGGCAAAAATAATAAATAAATAACTCAGTGCCAGCTGGCATTAATGTTCACTAGTGCTCTGATGGGCAAACAAACTTAGCAGCTTCTGCCACAGATCTGCTATGTATTTTTGCTAAATTAAGTTTTAATTAGGACCACTACAATAAACCCACTTATGTTTTGTGGATGGATCGTACTTCTGGGACGGCTGTTGTTTAAACGGCTAAACTTTCAATCTAAACAGGTGGTTGGTGACGAATCAAACAAAGAGCGATTCATAAATCCTTCGTGATGACTAATCAAGGTTCCCCTCAGGGTCGCTCATCCTGGAGAAAAGGCCTATGGGTAGGATACTTAGATCAGCGTCGGCAGGACCCCACTGGGCTAAGCTCGAACGATAGACACAAGCCCCCCCCTCCCCCAACATGGGCCCATTACCCACAGTGGGAACCATCAGGGAGCAGCTTGGGCCTTTGGGCCAAGTGGCGGTACAGAGTTCCAGGCCTTCTTAGCATTCCTTGCTGGGTGCTGGAGCATACAGCTGCTCAGAAGGTCCAAACTAGAACTTCATGCAAGCTTCTCAATATCCCTGCCTTACTTTCTCTGTTCTTTCATCAAAACTTTGCCGTTTTAAAAAACATTATCTCCATATAGGGTCGACAGAACATTCAGTTTTCAGTTCTACTATGGTAGCCTGATAAACCAGACTTAATGTGAGATTAAATGTGTAATCTAGTCTGGCTCCGATGAAAGAGACATCAGAAGATTGTTGATAAAATTGTTGTTTTTTAAACCATGTCTGTGCCTATTGGCCAACGCTCTGACCAATAAGCGCAACTGACTGTGTCGTAGTAAGCGCGACAGAAAGCTGGTGGGGGAGTGTAAACAAACAGCCTGTTGGTAAAACAGCGAATATGTCCTTCTTAAAAATGAATGAGCGTAGAGCCTCTTCCTGCTCACGTTTCAATGAAAACTCCAAGTCTAATCCTTCCAAAGCTGATTCCAAAGCTGAGTCAAAGGAGAACTGTTCAATAGTTGGTGCCATCTTCCTTGTTATGCTTTTCCCAGCATTGTGCAGCTTTGTCGTCACGCCCTCAAAACCCTGCCCACTTTGCATCCAGAAATTCAAAAGACATCCCTGCGTTGTGATTGGCCAGCCAGTTCTAGGGCCTGGGGCATTGATCGAGGCTAGACCACTCGCAGGGAAAAATGGTTTTGGCCGCTGGTGGGTGGGGCTAGTTTACTAGGCTACTAATATTGGACTTTTGTCATTTAGTTTTTCTTCAGGTTGGGGCCCACCTTTACTGGCGCTGATGGTTTGGAGAACCATTTCTGCAGCTCCACGGTCGTGCAGTCGGGCCTGCTGATACAGCAGCTTCTGCTTCTCCATCTCCTTCTCCTAGTTCGTTAAAGCAGGAAAATATATGCAGTCAGCCCTGAGAATGTCACAAAACGTTCCAAGAACAAGTGAGTGATAGCCTACTTCAAAGCTTTTTACTTCTCCTTCCTCATCTTCTTCATCATGGCAACTCTAAAGGGAGGAGGCAAGGAACGAAACATTTAATTAAAATCTTCAATAAAAAATATTTAAACAAAAACAATAAGAACAGCAAATTTGTGTGTTCAGAGATAGAGGTGCTGGTACCTTAGCCATGATGTCAGCATAAGCCATGTACAGGTTGTCTTCATCCAGTTTGCTGCAACAGAAAAGAGAAACTAAATACCACCAACGTTTTATTCATCCAATCAAAACTACAAAAATCACCTGATTGTTGGACTTTTAAACACTGCAGCTTCTATTCAAGGCCAGAAACAAAAAACTACCAGTTAATATATAGAGACAGTTTTTTTGAAAGGGAAGCAGGGTATAATCCAAGAGGATTGTGGGAAATATTGAGAAATGGACCTAATTCAAAACCAAAAACAGCAATGAAGTACAAAAAAAGGAAATATTTCAAAGTCAAACGACAATTATTGTCATTAAATGGGACCGATGGACCCAGTATTCAAGGCCAGTTGGACGATGGGAACTTTTAAAACGTTTGGTAACAGGAAAAAAATAATAAAACAGAGAACAGAAACACAGGCTGCTGAGGATAAGCGGACAGCAGCAGCTGCAGGGGGGCGGGGCGCAACCAATCACTGACACTCTGGTTTAACAGTTCAGTCCATCCTCTCCAAGGAAGGCAGGATCCAGCCGATGGACCGCCAACGAGATGGAGGAGACCGATCCAGGTCAGAGAAACAGGTCAGAACCGGACAGTTCTGAGATCCAGAAGCTTGTAACCCAACCAGGGATTCCGATCCAAACAGGAAAAGATAGATCCAGGGTTCCAGGAATCCTCTAAGCGTTCAGGCAGGTTCAGAGTTCTATGAGTCCAGCAGCGAGCTCAGACAGACACGCTCAGCTGGAAACAGGCAGGCTCAAAGAGGAACGGAGACAAGACATGGTACCAGATAACTGCAGAACTTTACACTGGTCCCTACCTTTATGACGGAGTATTAGGGCTAGGCTAGAGATTTTTTTATTTTTTGTATTTTAAGAATAAAGTCGTAACATTACGAGAATGAAGTCATCATACAACAACCCGTTTCAGAAAGAAAGCTTGGAGCTCCGCCCAGCACCACCAATCAGCAACCTGAGTCCACTTTGACATCCTGCCCAGTTTGATGCTGCTGCTTAAAGATTTCCTAAATTTGTCAAACCGATGCTAAAATAGAACTTCACATGATGCTTCACATTCCTCACTTTAGGGAAGAAAGGGCTTCTTGGAAGAGTTGTTATAAAATACTTTATTCTCGTAATTTTACAAATTTATTCTCTTGATATTTCAACTTTGTTCTCTTAATTTGATGATTATTCTCATTGTGACTTTGTTCTCGTAATCTTATGACTTTATTCTTGTAATTTTATGACTTTATTCTCGTAATTTTACGACTTTATTCTCGTAATTTTACGACTTTGTTCTCATAATGTTAGGACTATATTCTCGTAATTTTGTGAGTTTATTTTCATAATGTTTGAATTTTATTCTCGTAATTTTATGACTATTCTTGTAATTTTATGACTATTCTCGTTGAAACTTTATTCTCATAATTTTATGACTTTATTTTCATAATTTTACGACTTTATTCTCGTAATTTTACAACTTTATTCTCGTTATTTTATGACTTTATTCTCGTAATTTTATTACTCTATTCTCGAAATAGATAAACAAAAATCTCAAGCCTGGCCCTAATACTCTGTCGGACCACCTTGGAGCCAGGCTTACAGGAATTAAGGCTTCCTGATGCTATCCTCTGTGAGATCCTGTTTGCAAGGCCCAATCAGGAGGAGGTTCACAGAAGAGGTTTGTCTCCACCCAACCTGTCAAAACACATTTTTCTTCACACGAGGAGAAAATAGCACACCTGTGCTCGATCGTGACCGCTGGATAAAAAGTCACGCTCGCTGTGAGATCCCGAGCGCAAAGAGCGATTTTCACCTCTGGAAGCGGCAGTTTCTCTCGCATGTGTGATTTTGTTGTGCGGTGGTAAATAAATCATACGCAGAAGTAGTTTACCAGTCAAGCAAGTATGTTTATTCTGCATGCGGGCGTTTTGAAATAAATGTGACGGCATAAAAATGTTTCAAAATTAGTCCAGCAAGAGAAGACATGACCGCATGACAGAGCTGAGGGATGAGATTATATAACTTCATCACTTCAACCCTTGATTTTTGTTGCTTTTGTTTGTTGAAGCAAATGATAAATGTTCTGATAAAATGAAACAGAAACAGTTTAAGGTCACCAAGAAAACTGATAAATAAACCCTGCTAAACATAAAAACAATGCATTTAAATCAACTTAATTTAAATGTCAATTTAAATAAACTTTGTTGATTTGAAACAAAAAAAATAATAATAATTATGCTTGATTTATGGAAAGGTTGCAGATTTTTACATGAACCCACCATTTCTCAGTGAGGGCTGTTCTACTGAAGAGCTGGATAAGTTGGTGGAGTGGATCGATCCGTTTGATACCCTCCTCTTCCTCAGATGGCTCTCTTTCCCCTGCTTTCTGCAGTCAGACCAAAACACAGAAGAAATAGATTTTTCTTTATTATGACTTCATTTGGATCAGAGGATTTCCACCTTAATAACCACGATCTTACAGCAAGGTCCTCAATGAGTTTGTCTTCAAAATAATGCTCTTCTGCCTCGATCCAGGACTTCTCATAGCCTTGCAAGAACAAGTTTACAGCTCGGTGCCTGTTATGAAGAAGAGAAATTACTGTTATTCAGAGAATAACTACTTAAAACAACCCATTAAGTGCACTTCTGCCCCTTTTTTAAACGGTTTTCTTTAAATATTTTTGCGCATTTTAGAGATTCTCTTTTGTTTTATAAACTCATTAAACATAGAGTGAAATAGTTCAAACATGTATTTTAATTATGGTAGCTTAGAAGAATTTTTCTTGCAAATAATGAAAAAAAAAGGCAAAAAATAAGAGTATTGTTGGAAAAGTGAAATATTTAAATCTAACGGTAATCAAATCTTTCCTGATGCTCTAATTAACCCCTTAGACTCCAGGAAACTATATATATATATATATATATATATATATATATATATATATATATATATATATATATATATATATATATATATATANAAATACTGGAAAAAATAGAAAAGGAAAAAAGAAGATTCTTGCGGGATCTTTTTGCCTTTCTCGATAATTAGTTGTAACAGATACACTTTGTTAACATTAGCTTATTGATATTTTGCAGGGTTTCGTTCTGAAATGCAGGTAAACGTCTGCAGGTAAATTAAGGCTCATCATAGTTTATCGCTTTTTATTCAAGGTCAAATTTAAAAATATTTCAAACTTCCCTTTAATCTTCATCAGGATGCCTTTTGTTTAAAGTTTAATGCTAAATCAGTAGCTAATTCATAAGCTTCTTCTTTCTTAAGCGCCTAGTGGACACTTTTCCTTTAGGTATAATTTTGTCAAAATATTATCAACTATAAACTCCAATTTTAAGTTTAGAAAAAAGTTTCCAGAAACAGTCATTTATTCTGAAATTTCTGTTTCAAAAGAAACATTTGGAAATAATGTGATAAACGTGATTATCTAATCTTGATATCAAATGTTCCCTAAAATAGGAGCATATTATTTCTGCATGGAGAAGATTGAAAATGAACCTAAATGTTATATTATACATTTTATAGTCAAAAATGTAAGTTTTCATCAACTTGTTACAGTTTTGTTTAAGGAATTTATACTTATCCTTGGTATCTTGATGTGATCCTGATTGTTTTTTTTGCTGTTTTTGTACAGATGTATCTGCTGTAGAAGGCCGACTTTCAGCCTCACTGTGTGTCGGCGAGGCATGATTAGCCTCTAACGACTCCGGCGAGGCGTGATTAGCCTCTAACGACCACCTCCCCATCAGGAATGGAAAGGTCAGGAGAAAATCAGCTGTTATGGGGTTTTTGTGAGTGAATCCTGCTGTGGAAGCAGAGCTGCGGGACAGACCGCTGTCACACTCTAAAGCTGTGTGGCAACTTTTAGATTTTTCATTTTCAAAATGAGTTGCACATTTCAAATATTTTCATTAGCCTGACTTTAAGTTAGCTATTGCAGAACATTTTATTGACTTTGTCAGGTTGTTAGATTTTTGTTAAAATTGATTCAGGTTCCTCTGGATCTGCTGCTGCAATGAGCTCCAGCTTTCCTCTCAATTGGTCGGCTAATCAGCGGGTCGCACCATTTGTTGTAATGGGAGGGGCAAATTTGTTTATAATTTGTTTTGATATTCTTAGTTTTGGGTACTTTTAATAATTTGTTAAATTAAAAAAGTACTTAGTTTCTGGCCAGTATTTATCAGTTTAATTAAGTTTATTTGTTTGTTAGATTGTCGGTCAGTTATCCCCCTCGTGTTTCAGCAGTGGTCTGATCAGCCACTATTTAAGTTTCCCTCATGTTTTGTTTGATAGGTCAGTTTGAGCTTTAGTTCTTTATGTTAGAACCTAAATTGAAGTCTGTTCTGTTGACCTTTGTTTTTGGGCCCAGTTTATAATTTTTTTTAAAAACTTTAAAAAAATAAATTAAGTCCTTTTTTGAACTGGTTTTCTGGCTGGTTTGTGCAAATCCCTCACAAGCTGATGTACCCGAACCTCGCTCACTGGGAGCTCTTCCTATTATTATTTCTGATTGTGCAGTCTAACCAGCGCCATCTCTCACCGCTGATTCCGACGTGTGTTTTGTACGTACAGTGTCAGCAGGTAGATCGCATCAGAGCGTCGGGCCGTACAGTGGAAGAACAAATATGCAAAGCTGTGAACTTTTAAACCCTACGGTTCCATCATGCAGATTGAGCTGTAGCTGCGTGCAATGATTTAAAATATATAAAATATCATACAGCGAATTCCCGCCTTTAGACGGTTATGAACACTCTGGCGCTGCTAGCTATACAACATTTGCTCTGTGGACTTGATTTGTTTAAAGGTTTATTAGGCTGGTTGATCCTGTTTCTACATCTCAGATGCCTGAATTACAAAATAAACTGTAATTTTTTTCAGGTTAAGTTAGGGTAGGTTAAAAATGTTTCCATTAAGGATGGTGAACTTGCAGGTCATACCTTGGCAGGTTATATAGCGGTGCCATCCTGAAACAAGCGACCACCGCCCGCTTCCTTTGCTTAGACAGCAGCTTGTGCCAAACCGCTTTCTTGCTGCGCTGAGGATGCTCCACCTGAAACAGAGACACGCCTACTTAGAATAAAACAAAGTGTTACATCCATTGTTACACATGAAGGCCCTGATCTACTAACGTCCCAGATAAGGAGATCTATCATGCCATGGGGGGCGGGGGGGGTCAGCTGTTGTTGAAATGTGTGCAAAACTGAGTGAAGGAAGTTAAAGTTTGATCTTAATTGGCCCCTCGTCTAAAGGAAATGCTTTGTTTCTGTTTTTAACTCCCAACATCTATAATATAACGTCAATATATGGAAACTCCACTCTGACAAACTGTATTGCACACATTTATTAAGGATCAAATGTCTTTTGGAGTTTCAACATACAGTATTATTCCCTATATTTGCTATTGTTTTACATTTCACTAACGATCTAAATTAGCCGAAAGTAGAAAACAATCATTGTCAGTCTTGAAAGAAAGTACTGCGTTCTATGACTGAGCTCTGCTAATTAACAAGATGACAAGAAAACTTTCAGCATATTTTTATTCTTTTTATTAAGATCTGAGGGCAGGAGGGACAAATGGAACATCTTAGAAATGACTTTCATAGGGATTTTAGACAAATAAAAAAGTTATTTTACTTGTAGAAAACAAACAGTAACTTTGTTCACTAGAAACAGATTTTTTTCTGTTTTTTTATCGATCAGGTAAAATTTCATCGGTAATTAGACACGCTAACGCTATCGATGCTCCCGACTCGGCACACGAACGCTGCGTGATGTTATTATCGCTGTCTGGGCATCCACATTGTTTGACATCATGTGGGAATATTCAGCCAATCATGTAGCATAATGTCACTGGCATGAAGCAGGACCCAAGCAGATCTGGTAGTTACACCGAGCTTGGTTCCTTACAACTGTTTACACACCACGCTAGCGCAGTTCCTCGCCTCCTAGTGGCGATCTACGGTACTACCGTTCTCTAGAGATAAACAAACAAACCAACATGGCGGCACCCGTTACATTTAGAAAGTTTGGTTATAATTGTGATATTTCGTTGTTTGTAGAGACTCGGGCGAAGACGGCAGCCTTGCATAAGTGATGATTTCTATATGATAAAAAATAAATGTATGTAAAAGAGCTAAAAGAAATCAGGATAATATGTGTTTTATTACCGTTATCATATCTATTGATGCAACCACACCAAAAAATTAATTAATAAATCCATTTGCAGGTAGTAAGTAACATTCTATATCCTGCTCCCAGTGTTTTGCATGTTTTGAAGACCAGCATATGTTCAGGGCATGCATGAAGGCAAACTCCAAACTTGCTAAATGTATAGCCGCCTGTGGGGTTGTTTGTTTAGCAGATGCAATAATCCATGGATGTAGTTAGTAGATCAGCTTTGCGTGTGCTAGGAAATTTGCATGTTTTAATACACAGAAACCTCTACTAGATCAGAGACACACACATATAGTCTACTTATTCAAACCTGATCGAGGTGGAAGAGGACATGAGCAATGTCCAGGACTCTTTTCACAGTCTTCTCTGGGTCATATGTGTCCTCATGGTGGTTAGGGAGGTCTCTGTACAAAGCCATCTGCCAGCGAATAGCTGGATCCTCCAGCTGCTCCAAAAAGAAAACAAAAACAGGCAAACACTGAAAACTTGAATGGTTCAATATAGACTAAATATTAATTCTTACAGAAAACAAACTTATATTTTCAACATTCAAAGAAAAAAAAAATTCTTTTTTTTTTACCTTCCCTTGCAAATGGAGATTGTTCCTAATGATCTCTCGAACCTCGTCCTCCGTGTCTTTCTGTTCACAAAAGTTTCACAATTCATGATAATGTCACCAGGGTTTATGTAATTCAAAGCTGTAAAAGTCTGAGTTAAACATTTTTTCACAGTGAAAGTGTTGGAACTATTTATTCTTTATTTTTTTTTCTATGTGAATTTTGTTAGTTTATTCTTAAATTTATATTTTGTATTTATTTACAGAGTTTATTTGCAGGTTATTTGTTGTTGGTCCTAATTATCTTTTGTTTGATTATTTTTTCTTATTTATCGATTTTTCATAATACAGGAAGTAATGTGGATCAGTCCACTTTCTCTAGTTGCGGGGGCCTGGGAAAGGACCAGCAGGCATTTTGGGGCCCCTGGTTTTTACCAGAGATGCAGCAGAAAGAAAAAAGGAAAGTTTGAACTCTGTAATTTCTGGATGAAAAGTAGTGATGGGGAGATGAAGCCTCATTGAACCGTTTGGGTTCATGAAACTTCATGTGAACATGTCACCACCTACTGGTGGGAAGCAGAACTACAGTTAGTAATCTGTGATTTTTTGCAATTGTTTTTCTTCTTTTTTTCATTTAAGTTCCTTTCAAATTGTTAATTATTGGTGTGGTTAATAAAATCTTTTGTAAATTTTGTTGGTGTATAAAGAGAACAATCGGTTAAGGTTCACTGTTTTTCTGCCATTTTAGTGAAATAAGCTTAAGCAGTGAACATGTGCAAATTGGACAATGATGAGCAAAAATAAAGGTTTTAGTCATTTCTTTTCAAACATTATAGTTTTTCCACAGTTTTTGGTTTTAATCAGGTTGAAAGTTATGTGTTCAACCAATCTTTTGGCTAAACCAACTACCGGTAATCTAATTTGACAGAGTTTTTACCCAATCCATATTTGTACTTGGCCAAAATACTTGCTAAGTATTATTGCAACTTTCAAAAGTCTAAAGTGGGTTTCAAACCAACAACCTCTGGATTGGAAGTCAATGTCTTACAGCTGACGACACTAGAAATTGTAACTGCTCACTAGACAGCAATACTACTTAACAACTGTAACTGTAACGTTTAACTGTTACAGCTGTAACCAGTGGTTTGCTCAGATTTTGATCATTATATTGTTTAATCTAACCAAAATAGCTTTAACCAACTAGATTAATTGTTTTTCCAACCAATCTATTCTTAGAATCTATCCAAACTCTCCTAAAAACTCCCACATCTTGACTGAACACTGAGGCTGTTTAAATGCCTGCTGAAGTTCGGGGCGATCTGAACCACTTCCTGAAGCGGTTAGGTGGTATGGCGGGGTAGCGAGGCTTCAGACGTCATTGATTTTGGCTCCTCCCCTAAATAAAGCAAGCAGGAAGTTGACCCCAGTGCCTTAGAGTGGCTTAATGGAACCTTTATTGGATGTTTGTGGCAAACAATCACCTCTACAGGAAGTTTTAGTTGGACGATTATAAATGCGGTATTTTCTTTACAAACTGTAATTTCTAAAACATTTCCAACAACATTCCACATTTTCAGATCATGTAGTTTTAAAATGGTAAATAAAAACGGGTTTTCCTAAAAAATAAACATAAACACAAAAAGAAAAAAAAAGTGAGAATTAAAAATCTTGGTTTTTTTTAGAGGTTTTATATTTCAGTTGAAGCTCGGTTTGTGAAGCATGTTTCCCAACCAGGAAGCTTTTTCAATTCAACATAAGAAATAGTATTAAGTTCCAGGCTTTATAGAGTCGACCGAAGTAAAGGCTTGTTTTAGCTTAGAAAACATGCATTTTGAATTGAAAAAGCTTCCTGGATGGAAAGAGAAACGTCTTCAGGCTTGAAAACAAAGTCCAGTGGATTGATTTTTTTTTTTTACTTTTTTGGAATGACTATGGCCTGGATAACTGAGAATCTTCACCAGCAGGCTACAGTATCAACCACAGCATTACTCCCTGGGTTCTGAGTCTGAGAGTCTGTCCTAATCTGTCTTTTCATCCTCGTTGTTTCTCTACCTGAGTGAATCGGCTCTTAGCCAGAGCAATCAGCTCCTGCTCTCCTGGAGCGCAGGTGTTCAGTCCTACAGGCAGCAGGCGTTTCAGAGTGGCCACGATCAAACTGGTCTGCGTCGAGTATCGATCCCCTTTCCTCTTCATTTTCTTCCTCTCTTGGTCTGAAACTATTCCCTGAGGCGTAACCAGAGGAAGAGCGGATTTTAAGTTACTTTCATGGTGGTAATTACTGATGCTGATGGTTCTATATTACCGGTAATTCATAAAACCGGTTGTGTGTGTGTCATACCTTCGACATCTTGCACTTGGTGTCAGAGATGAGGAATGACATGTTGTTGATCTCATTCTGGACCACAAAGTTCTGCTCTTCCCTCTTAAAGTTCTGCAGATAAAAACCAAACAGTCATGCTGGATTCTCTGAAATATAAAACACCTGCTGATTG